TCAGTGCTGTGCTTTAACCCGCTGCGCCACCAGGGAGGGCCCTCTGACTTATATTTTAAAATGACTATTCCGAATTCTCCATTTAAGCAATTTCCCTGTAATTATCCATTTGGGAATTAACAACGTATTATTCAGTTTGTGGTACAGCCTGCAAATTTACTTCAGATGAATAGTTCAAATTTTTATTGCCGAGTAATATTTTATATCACCATTTATTGGATACTTAGATTGCTTCTACTTTTTGTCTGTGGTAATGCTATTGTAAACATTCATATACAAATTTTTGTGGAGACAGATGTTTTCACTTCTCTTGTGGTAGATACCTAGGAGTAGAATTGATGCGTTTAACTTTTTGAGGATTACCATATTACTTTCCAAAGCAGCCCAACAGTGTACATTTTTACCCATAGTGTATGAGCATTCCTATTTTTCTACATCCTTGCCAACACTGATTGCTATCTGTCATTATGACTATTATGACTATTGCCTTCCTAGTGGTATAAAGTGGTATCTCATTATGGTTTTGATTTGCCTTTCTGTGATGGCTAATAATGTTGAGACTCTGATGTACTTATTGGCCATTTCTGTATCTTTGGAGAAATGTCCATTTAGATCCTTTATTTACTTTTAAACTGAGTTGTAAGAATTTTTTATATGTCAGTAGATTGTTTAAATGATTATGACAACTATAATAAAAAGAGTTAAAAACTTTGAAAATTTGAAGAGGTAGTAGTTAGGAATTTTTATTAATAGGGAAACACAACTTTTGTTCCTAGTTCTGTAGCCTTCTTGTTAGTTGAGGATGAAACTGACATTTAGTACCCTTTTTTCATCATTGGTGGAAGATGCTTTCTAAAGGATGATATTGTGCCGATGTAAGTTGCCATGCCCTTCTGGTCTTATGTAATTTACTTAGCTGTGAAATGGGGAAAGCTTTGTATCCTGTTGATATTTTTAAGGATTACAAATTCAGTATCTAAGAATTATATAATGTTTTCAGATCAGAGAAGGCTATAAATAATCAAATGGTCAACAGGTATTGCAAGGGTACCACTAATTCAGTTTTGAGTGATTTAATGACTGGAAGGATTGAAGGGATTGTCAGTACTGAGGAGCAGATACTCAACCACTGTGTGAATTCCTCTCAGGTGCTGTCAGTTGTCCTGTGTTCGGGTGCTGTTCTTTGCATGAGGAATCTGGACAGAAAGACCAGAAATCCTTTACTGTAACATCAGTGATGACAGTTTAACTAGCATTTGGGATATGATTGATTTATTTTCCAGGTGTGAGATAATTTTGTGAAAACTAAAATGAGGATTGGAAGTGTTCAGTGTGATTTGTATATGCGAAACACATACACAAATTTTGTAGGTTAAATGATCCACTTTGTTTATTGCTAACCATTTTACTTGTATCATTCATGATGTCTTAGTTGCAACATCCATTCCCTACAGGGTTTTACTTTCTTCTTTTTTTCACTAGATGCTCCACATCAAAAAGCAGAGTGTCCTAAGTGTGGCAGCAGAAGGAGTTAATGTGTGTCGTCATGGGAAACTATGTTGGCTCCAGGTAAAA